AAAAGCAAATTGGCGACCTATTGCAAAATTGATAATTTTAAAATTTAGAACGCTGTAAATCCTGTCGCCGAAAATGGATGTTCATGAAACCAATGGGAATAAGTAGGTTTTCACATTAACTTTAAGTAAGTCAAATTTTAAAAATTTGTTCGCAATTTCGGTTATCATTTATCAAAGATAATTTGACATGACATGGATTGCCATAATATTTGTTAAGAAATCGTTTGTTAAAGACAGTGTGTACGACGGCTTAAGCGCGCGGTCGCTCTGCTGCGTCCATAAGGTCTGGCACCGCATTTTCTATGTTCCGACATCGCGCTCCGATTTGGCCTGCCGTATGTCGACCCGGATCATGTAATTTTAGGTCCCCCGTATCGATGCCTCACCTACTAGGCCCTATCCCAAAGGAAGCCGGAAACTCCCCCTCGCCTATCACTTAATCTAGGAGCCCGATCGCATTTTGGTGCAGTCAGGCCGCCGCCATGTCCCTTAATCAATCTGCCACCAGAAGTCCCCACTCTCTGACAGCCTGCGGCCCAATCCTCTACGCTCGGGATCGGCCCTCTCCCAATCGCCTTCAGCGGTCTCTTTCTGGAGCATTACAGCCTCAGCCAGCCCTCCTCACCCGCCAACATGGCAGCAATCATTGCTGGCGGGGACAGGTCACGTCCGACGTCACGATCGACAAGGACCTCGCGTTCAGACGCCCACGCGGGGCAGTCTTGCAGCGTATGCTGGGCGGAGACCCAGACGGCTGCGCAGTTCCGGCATTGTGGTGTGTAGGTATATACTTACTCGAGACGAATTGGATATCCTATGTTGTGATAAAAGTACACCATCCGGCGTTTTACTGGCATCAGGTAATGCCTGTAATACAACCTTAACTTTTGAAATTCGGTGTTTTTTTGTTGTTAATCTTTAATCAGTAAATTACAAGGTCTTCGACACGTGTGCGAATCCGTTTCTTTGTACTAGAGAAATAAGCATACCTGTTCTGAATGCTCGATTTTTTGTACGAGCAGTATGATCTACTGCTATTACTGTACAATAGAAATATACTTACACTAATTAAAAATATTATAAACCACATACTACTACATACCTATAGGATATAATTCCCGTTAGTCATTTTTAAATTTTCATGCCCATCGTTTAAAACATTACGGTGCGAGAAATCAGTGATTGTTAATGCTGGTGAAACTCCATAGGCTAAACTCTGCTTAATCACGATAATGCATCTATATTGTCGTGATTGAAGTAATGCGTTTTTATAGGTACCGACGAAACAAGTAGGTATTACTCTTTTATTTACATAAAATTAAAGGGTGGTATTTTTCCTTCAAATTTACTAATCATAGGACCGAATCGGAAGTATATCTGCCCTCCGAAACAAAAAGAATTTCCAAATCGGTTCATTAATGACGAGGTTCGGACGGACGGATCATAAGAAAACAACCGAATTAAAACTCCTCCCTTTTTTGAAGTCGGTTAAAAATGCTCATAAACCGGGTATTTTAGTGATATGTCTGGGCCAATCAAACAATTATCAGATGAATAAAAAATTATGTTTTGTCTTTCCGTTTTGAAAATTGATCAAAATTTACTAATTAAACGACCTATTGTTCAAACACGATTCTAAAACTATAGAGGAATGCTTCCATGATTAGGTACTTCCTTCACATACCCATTCCGATAGTAGGCTTTTAATTTATTAAAGCGGTATTTACAAGTCGGTACATTAACGATGTACGCTTGAGTGTGTTCCCCGCAGTTTAACTTGTAGTTAATGGACATAGGTGAGTAAGTAATATAACATAAATAAAAAATTGAGCTATCAAATGCACTTTTTAATGTGACTGGAAGCTAACCAGTTTTGTATCCATTAGCCGGATTTAATAAAAATAAAAAGATATCTTCAACCTTACTATGTTATTTAATCTTCATTCTGTAAACAAATTTTGCACTCATAGCAAAATTATAGTTTCTGTAAGTGCCGCAAAATGGCGTACCCCAAGAATTTTCAATTGATTTCTCTTGAGGAGAGATTATATTCTATGGTTGTTAGTCGATTTATAAATAGTCGAATAAAAGAGGTGCACTAAATACTTGTAAAATTGATTTGACAAAATTTTCCAAAGGAAGGATATCTTTAAAGGACAGTTTAGTGGTTTGATTTGGGCCTGAAATGAAGTTGGATTGAATAAATCCGGCTTGGTAACTTTACCATGTGACTGGCAATCAACATCTGGTCAAAGTCAATATTAAGAGCAGTTAGTTGCTAAAATCACGGTACAATTATAATACAGTACTCCAACTTCGTACAAACGGACGAAACGCGAGCTATACCTACGCGCCTCGATCTCGAGGTGCGCTCGGGGCGCAGACAGTCACGGCTGTATCGGAGTGTCGAACGGACGGTGTGTTTTGTTTTTTTACAATAACCGCGCGATTTTTTCTCTAAAAATCAGTTAATATGACGAGTAGGAAATATTGTGCTGTTTTTGGTTGTATGAATTCGTCAATAACGCATCCAGACATAAGTTCTTTTAAATTACCTGGATACTCTGAAAGGTAAGACTAAAAATAATTTTACTTACTAGTAGGTAGGTACATAATGTGTCTTTATAATGGATAAGTATTTCCTTTTATCTCACGAAAAAAAAAGGTGTTTGGATTAATAAATAAAGCGAATAGAGTAACGGAAAGTTATTGAGACGAGTGAAATAGGTAGTTATTTGCGGTTCAGAATGAATCATGATACGGTAGGTACCTACCTACTTACGCTTGTGTTAAAACTTCGGTGCATGTGTGTTTGGTTACTTTGCATAATTCAAAGTAAAGACGTGGTATTTTATTATTAATAATATTTGTTTATTATCTGTGGGTATGAATAATACTAGAATAATTTTTTTACCGTCTGTGTGTCATTAGATAGTTTTCGAAATTTTCACAAAGTGTTTCTGCTGCTACTATAACAACATATCCCACTAAAAACTGGTTTTATTTTCTCGGTATTAACAACAACAGCTAGACTCATATATAATATTTAGATGTTTGAGGGTTGTGATTTTAAAACATTCGTAGTCAGCTGTTCAGCTTTTTAATAATTAATTAATTGGTGACCAAAGAATTTTTGTTTTGAGTTATTGCGAGTTGTAGGTAGGTACCTAATTTATAGAGACGTTAATAAGCTGAGATAAAAAGTTACTTGCTCGTCAGCTGTTTCTTGCATTCTAGGTGAGTAGGTAGGTGTTGGAGTTTCTAAGGATTGGAGTTTTGTAACGCGTAAGGAGAAAGCACATTTTTTTTATTCTATAGAAGGATTTTTAAGCTATTGCATAGCTTTTATCGCGGGCTCTGAGCGCGGCGCGGCGCGGTGACCGAATCAAGAAATTCTCAAAACCTAACGAAAAATACCTGACACCAGGCAGATTTTTTCTTTAAAAAAAAAAATGTTATGCAATAGCTTTACCGCGGCAGTCTCCGAGAGTGCCACATGTATTTTTTTTCACACGTCTTCAATGGTTGCAACTGATCCGGCGAGATGATTTGGAAAACAAATCTGACTTTAGTTCCTACCAAGTTTGTAAAAAACATTTTAATTTGGAGGATGTATTACATTCATCAAATAGAAAACTTTAAAAAAAAAATGCCCTACCATTGTTGATGCTGCCAAGCTTAGCTAGTACTGATCCAGGAGTCTCTCTAAAAGAAGATAAACAAACCCAAACTGCTCCGTTGGTAGGAAATGAAAATAGTACACAGACTGAAAATGCAACAAATGAAATCTTTGCTCAAACCTCAACGAGTCTCTCTAGCAACACTCCAAGAAAAAGAAAATTGAAACTTGAACTCCTTCAATGCAGAAAGAAAATAAAATAATTAAATCTACCAATCAAAAAACAACACGCATTTTTATTGAACACTTCCTATTCAATATACAAAGTATTTCATTTATTTATATAAAGAGGATATGTACAATCACAAATCTAAATAGAAACAGAAAGTAGGCAAATATAATTAAAATGCTGGAGACGGGCAGCCCTGACGCATGTTTACGTACCGCGCGGCTGTAGGCATTTATTTCTATCATGCGGCCGAGTTACACTTCTGTATTATAATTGTACCGTGCTACAATCTTTTATTGTTGAAGGCTTCACTGTTCTTACCTAGTAGGGTGTCGGATAGTATAAATGATGTCGATAAGGTCATGAACAATGAAATGAAAGCTAACCATTTATATGATTCATATACTATTTGTTTCTTGTTTCCAACTGCGTGATTTTTTAAAACAAATAAAAACGTATTTATTCAGTTCAATTATTTGAAGTTTATAAACATGTTCAAATGGTATATTTTAACAATTTATTAAACTAGGAAATCAAAAAGTAATATATTTAAAATAAAAATTAGGAAACCAGATCTACATTTCTTTTGATTTTTTTCAAGTTTGCTAAAAGCCAATAAGTACAAATACCTGTCGAAGAATACGTATCCAGGTCTTTTTTTGTACTCGGATATTCGCGGATACGTGTCTCTACAGCACTCGGTACAGTAAAGCATTTGAAAAGAGTTAGAAAAAAAGCCTTGAAAGTAATAGAAGTACAAGACTCGATATTATTTTACTGTTATCTAAACATAGGATAATCTAGAGACAAATTCAAATTTTGATTCTGATGATTTTTTGGTATGTAGATATTTAACTTCTTGTATCAACGTTAAGTTATTTAAGAAACAAACTTGATATTTTAATTTTAATGTTCATAGTCGAATAGAGACAATTTAATCGCCTACTTTGTAGCAAGTAGCAACTCTATTTTATACTATTTATTTTATCTGTGATTAATAAGAATTACTTTGTGGGACGCTTCGCGCCGTGTAATTTATTTTTTCGTATTATTTCTTTGTATTTATCACTGTAAGGTGACAACATTTCGTTAATATGTTCTGAAGTGTTTAGATATTCAATTTATGACAGTTGTTACTTTCATTTTCAGACCATGTCGGGTATAGCAAGTGCACGTTTAGCTGAAGAAAGAAAAGCCTGGCGTAAAGACCATCCCTTTGTAAGCTGCATTACTTCCTTTTTGGGTTTATTATTTTTACCTCGAGTAGAAAAGTTACTTAATGATGTTTGTCTTTCAGGGATTTGTAGCCAGACCTATGAAAAATCCTGATGGGTCTTTGAATCTTATGACATGGGAATGTGCGATTCCTGGCAAAAAGGGGGTTAGTTGATTCTAGAACATTTAGAACCTGACTGTTAAATTGTAGTAACAGAAAAATTAGTGAACTGTTCAAGTTCATTTAACCGCTAATATCGAACACCAAATTTTAGTTTGCTGTTTTCTCTGCTCTGCTAATTATTGTTCAATGTCTTCGTTATTACAGACACCATGGGAAGGAGGATTGTATAAACTCCGTATGATTTTCAAAGATGACTATCCTTCTAGTCCCCCAAAGTGCAAGTTTGAACCCCCTCTATTCCATCCTAATGTCTACCCATCAGGAACAGTATGTCTATCATTATTAGATGAAGAAAAAGATTGGCGCCCAGCTATTACAATCAAACAGATTCTTCTTGGTATTCAAGATTTACTTAATGAACCCAATGTTAAAGATCCAGCACAAGCTGAAGCCTATACAATCTATTGGTAAGTTCTTATTACAGTTGGAGTTAAGATTTGTGGAGTCGCATGTCTTGTTAGAAAACATTGTTAAATATTTATTGCATTCTAGTTTTAATTAATGTCTTGTTTCTTTTTTATTTCAGTCAAAACCGATTAGAGTATGATAAACGTGTGAGAGCACAGGCACGGGCTATGGCAGCTACTGAGTGAACGCTGTCACAAATCAACATTCTATGAACTAAGCAGGCATCTGCATCGGATTGCCAAGTTGCAGAAAGCTATTAACAAGTGTGAATAATATTAATTTTGCAGTGCGTTTTTTTCTGGTGTTATAAAATCACTAAGAAAATTATAATCTCTGGTGATTCCAAGCAAAAAAGTATCACATTAAGTAAAATATAGCTTTCTGTAGTGGGGCATTGCAAGATAGTTCATAATGCTATTGTTGAAATATAGTTTCAGTATTATGATTAAACTGTGTATTTCAACAATAACTGTAATTATTTTAATGATATAGAGATTCCAATAAACGTAAAGCTCTTGATCTAATTACTGTTCACACACTAGAATATTAATTATGGTTACTCTTTAAGGCTCATTTTAATTTATTTGTAAAATATCTGAATCAATTACATACTACTTAAAGGAAAAATAAACATTTGTGCTTAAGTGAGTAAATACTATCTTAAATAAAAATCTCATGACTTGTTTTGCAAATAGTTATTGTGAGGATCTACACTACACTATTTTAAAATATTTTTGTATTTTTATGTTAGTAAGGCCCAGTAATAAAGGTATAAATGTATTTTGCCTGTGTATTTTTTTCAGTCTTCTAGATATGCAGTAAGTTCTTGTTCTTGTATAGGAGTTCCTATACAAGGAGACTATAGCCATGTTCAGTTTTTTTGCAATACCAATGTTAGTCTAGATATCGTCATGACCGTAGAATCTCTGTTTTGAAAAAAATACGAAATTTAGTTTTTACCATATTTGGATACTACATTGTCTAAATATTATTACTACATTCAAGCGAAAAGTATATGTATTTTAGATTTTAAATTATTCAATGTTTGTTTGATAGGCGCTCAAAATAGCATGAAGCATGTGATTTTTCGTGAAAATTGTGTAATTATTAGTTATTATTTTTATTACATTTTAAAACATTATTTAACACACCCATTTACATACATAACATTTTAAAACACACCCTATTTTTCACTTGTATGCCAATTTTCAAAATTATAGATTTAGAATGAACAAAGTTATGTCAAAAAATCTAACATAATTATTTGAAATGGATGCCCTGTAAAGTTCAATAAATGTCAGATCCGACACCATTATTCGACTATGACGATATTATTATATTCCTTGAGAATTACGTTAACGTTTTCGGTTTGTGATATCATTCATAAATTGATTGTTATTTCTGCCTTTTTATGACCTTTCGCCGCTGGGTATTTATTGTATATTTAAAACAAACAGTATAGTAAAGTAGTAAATAATTCACACCTACGGTGTAAAAAATTTCAGCCTGCAGTTGGGTAGGTATACCCGGATTTATAGTTTTATCCATAGAGATATAAGCATAGAGTGAATAACAGCGTCAATATTGCAATATGGGCAACGAGAGAGATGAATAATAGAAATGTCCCTCTATCTCTTTCTAGTAGATCTCTGGGGTTGGCTGGGGAAATTCCTAATCTCACGCCCGATCTACGATCAAAACCATGCTCACTTCACGATAGCCCATCACAGCTTAGCTAAACAGATACGGAATTATTGGTCCCAGCCCTCGACCCCATGTCAGACCCCCTTAGGGAGGTGTTCGACGTCAGCTTGGCGTCCGGACGTTTCCGTGAGTGCTGGAAAAGCGGGAAGCTGGTCATGTTAACTAAGCCGGGACAATAGGCCAAAATGGTCGTGGCCAACAGGCCCATGGTGTTGCTGGACGAGTCGGGTAAATTATTTGAGAGGGTTCTTGATCTATCAGACGTCTAATTCGGGTTTCGAGCGATCGGAGTGTTCGACGATCGGCGCTGTGTTGCGTCTCAGAATCATGACTGAAAAGCTCTGGCGGTGTCTCGCCTACATAAGGGAGGCACTCCACTATCACTCGGTGCTAGAGTACCTAAGGCGGCTAGTGGCAGACTATTTACAGGAGTGTACGTATGGATTGAGGAGCCATTTTAGAATTAGAACGGAAACTGCCCCCTCATTTAGTAGGTGAGAAAATAATTTTGTAGGACAAATTCTGAAATTTGTAGTAAGGCATATCCAAAGTTACGTCAATGTACAAGTGGCTCCTCAATCTAAACATTGAGGAGCCACCTGGAACACGGAAAGTATTTAATGAATATTTTTGAAAACTTTGTATCATTTAGTAGTAATTGTGTATAGTGCTTACTAAAAATCTGAATCCAGTACAATTGATATTCAAGAATATACAAAACTTTTAATGTGGCTCCTCAATCTATATTTATGAGTGTGAATTGCCATGAAAGTAAAAAGTCAATATTTATATTCTATTCCAAAAACATTTAGTAGCAAGTGGGTTTGAATTTGTAGTAACAGGAGAAAGTAGTAAAACTGAGTGAATTTTGTAAATAAACGCATTTTATTTGACTCCTCAATCCTGACGTTCCGCATAATATGTACTTACATACCTGATATCACAACAGAAATAAAAACTAAAGACACTAACATTTAGTAATAATAATAATAATAATAATAACTTCACACATCTCACACACGGCAGTCTGATCCCAAACTAGGCAGAGCCTGTACTATGGTAACCAGACTGCTGATAAACATACTTATATATTTTTAAATACATACATATTATAGATAAATAACACCCAGACACAGAACAAATGATCGTGCTCATCACACAATATTTGTCCTGGGTGGGAATCGAACCCACGACCTCCGGCTTAGCAGTCAGGGTCGCTAACCACTAGACCAACAGGCCCGTCAGTATAAATGTCTACTAAATAAATATGTACAGATCAAAGTTGTATATATTCGGTGACAATGGCACTGACACTGGTTACAGCCCGGTACAGCAGGTAAGAAGATATCCCGTGTCGCAGGTGATTTTACCTTTTTTTAGAAAAACAATTTGTGAATCACACGAAGCGTTGTCTCATGTGGGGATCGGACCCACAACACTCAGTGCATGTCATTGAGGCGCTGGACTTACGGGTTGCCGTGTATAAGACGCAGGCCGACCGCATATGGAATACTGTTTTCATCTCTATGCAGGGGCACGACAGTACTAGCTTCTCCCTCTGGACCATATCCAAATGAGAGCGACTCGAATCGTCGATAGCCAAAAGATTTGCGACCAGCTCGATCTTTTGGCGTTACGTAGAGATGTAGCTTCGCTCTGCATTCTTTATTGTATATATCATGGAGAGTGCTACGAGAAATTGTTCGGACTCATACCGGCTGGATATTTTTTTTATCCCCACCACTTGGATAGATGGCACTCCACCACTGTGTTACTAAAATATAAATAAAACTCAACAAAACGAAGCTCTATGCCTAATAAGTAATTGCCTTTGAGATAAAACAATGTTAGTTACAAGTAAAAATAAAACAAATACAAATTATTTTTAAAACACAGGTAAGAAGATGTGTTAGTCGTGGGAGAGCCATGCCTCGGCACATATAGGCCAGCCTCGACCAGAGTGATTCCACGGCCTTAAAGGAAACGTGCAATTCTATCGTAGCTTTTGACCGAGTGAGAGAGGTTAACGGAGCCCAAATTCTGGGGGGAGGGATTGAAAGGGTGACAATGCACTGGTGATTCTTAAGTTGCAGGTGTCCATGGGCAGCGGTCGAATGATGGTAAGTGGTCACTTACTCTCCTGTCTGCTCGCTTGCCCCCAAATACCATAAAGAAAGATCGCACTTCACGGTGGCGAACTGAGCTAGAGCCAATGTCCACTAGTTAGCCACGAAGCTAACCGAACGGCGCACTTTACGAACATTAAGTTTTGATGGCGCCGTAAGTTTCGGCCAATTTAGGATGAAACCAAAACTCGAACTGAAACTAATTTTTTTTTGCCGGAGCTGCCCGTAATCAAAAATTCGTTCTCTAAAAGAAAAATCGATATTCGAATAATCGATATTGGTTTGCCCAAGTAGGTAGTAAGTAACTAACTGCTGTCAGCTGCACTGGTCTCGAACCTACCGATTTTTTGGTATTTCTACTGATATGGGCTCTGTTCTACCGAAATACCCAAATATAACGATTTTTCTACGATTTCAGAGTATATATGGAAATTCTTACGATTTTTCTACCGATTTTACACTTTGGCAACCCTTTTAATTTATGTATAATGTTACGGGGAAGCCCCTAATAGAATGAACCTAGAGCAGAATGTTCCATATATTTTGGGGAATACCCTTATATCCTACAATTCGATGTTATTAAGGGGCTTCCCGCTCGGGAATTTACCTGTCTAGTCTATATAAACAGGAATTCGGTTTTATTTTTTTCATTAATTTTCTTAGCTTTGAAGAGAGAGTACCTAACCTAAATAGTGCCAACAAAATCAGATCATTAAGTTAAAATGTCATCTGACGAGGAGCCAAACAAGTGTGTGTAAGAAGAAAAAAATTCTACAATATTATAGAAAAGAATGGGAAGAACAATTTCTAGGGTGACTGCAAGATAGTCGTAAAGGCGAAAGCTATGCCTATTGTAATAGTTGTAATAAAGATATCAACATCACATCAGCAAAAGTCGCTATAAAGAAACATAGTTCTTCACAAGCACACTCAGTATCATCAAAGAATATAAAATCACAACCGAAGATATCATAATGATGATATATTGCTGTGACCAAAACTCAAAAATCTGATACACTGGTTATGCAAGGTAATTTATTTTTATTTTTTATGATAGTACTTACATTGTTATATTATTTTGTTTACTACTTATCGGTTTATAGAAGCAGTGGATATAATAAGACCCTAATCGCTACTAGATATACCTACATAATTTTAATTCTTTATTTTAATTTCAGGTGAAATAAGATTAGCCTCGTTTGAACACAATCTACCATTCACTATTATGGAGCACCTACCGAAGCTGATGCAAGCCGTTTGTCCTGATTAAAAAATAGCAAAAGAAATAAAATGCTCTTCGACCTTAACTCATGACATAATTGATCATATTATAGGTAAAGAAAGTTTCAATAATT